AATATTTTTTTTTTTTTAAATTCACGATCATAGATAGGCTTTAATTAATTTTTTTTATATAGATAGGCCTTAAAAATATTTTTTGAAAAATCCACGTTTATAGATAGACCTTAAAAATGATTTTTAAAAATCTACGATTATAGATAGCGCTTAAAAATATTTTTTAAAAAAATCCAATCCAATCCACTTCAAAAAAATAGTTTTTTAAACATCACTGATTATAGATAGACCTCGAAAAGTTAATTAAAAAAAAACACGACTATAGAAAGACCTAGAAAATTATTTTCAAAAAAAAAAAAATGGATTGAAGGCAGACTTTGAAATATTATTTAAAAAATTATTCCCTAGCTAGTCTTAAAAAAATATTAAAGAAATCAAACAAATATTCTTAGAAGCCCACAACTAACCTCTTTGATCTGATTTAAAGACAGATTTTTTTTTTGTTTTTGATTTCGTATCGTTTTCTTGTTTTTTTTTTTTTTTTTGTAGATCTGTGTTGACAGATCGTGAGATTTCCTTCGACGATATCATTAATTTTGTGAGACATGCTGTTCATTAGATATTGAAAATAGTTAGATTTAATCATGTTTGGCAAATGAAGTGAAACAAGTTTTTCTGTTAAGTTTAATTTGATTAAAACACCAAATTAAAAAGAAAAATATTAACCGTGTGATAAACAAGAAACTGAAAGCTGTGAGATTTTAAATGAACACATATAAGAAATAAAAATGCAAATTTTTTTCAGACGCATTTTTTCAAATTCGCTTAGATAGAAATGTTTTAATGCGAAATCATAAATTGCGTATTCATATCAGGTTTCTAGTTGAGAGAAATATTTAGATATAGCGAGATGTAAAGAATCGCTGACTTGTTTCGCAAGTTGTGACAGATAAAAGAAGGGGTTTGCAGATATGTATCATCTTCAACCAGCAAACAGGCAGACATACAAACGGACATGTCCTCAAGAGTCCTTGGGTCCTAGGAATCCGTTATTTCGATATGGCACGAATTGGCTATTATTTTTAAAGCCTTTTAAAATATTTTTTTAAAGAATACCAGAAAAAATAAATTCTGTTAATATTTTGGAAGGTCTAATTTTTAAATATTCCAAAAATAAATATTTGTTTAAGATTTTAGATTTTTAAAGTCTCTCTCCAAATAACTTATTTTAATTTATTATTTTTACGGCTATTATTTTTTAGGCCTTTCAAAAGATTTTTTAAAGAATCCCAAAAAAAATTGTATTAATATTTTGGAATGTCTATTTTTTTAAGATCTCCAAAAATGAATAATTATTTAAAATTTAAAATTTTAAAATTTTCTAATTTTTAAGATCTACAAAACTAAACATTTGTTCAATTTTTTAGATTTTTGAAGGTTCTAGCCATTTTTTTTATTTTTAAGGCTATTATTTTTAAGGTCTTAAAAAATATTTTTTTTAAAGAATACCAGAAAAAAATGTTTTCTATCCTAGAAACATATTTTCGAATAATATTTTGGAAGGCCTATTTTTAAAAATCTCCAAAAATAAATAATTATTTAAAATTTAAAATTTTTCTAATTTTTAAGATCTACAAAACTAAATATTTGTTCAATTTTTTAGATTTTTAAGGGTTCTAGCCATTTTAATTATTTTTAAGGCTATTATTTTTAAGGTCTTAAAAAATATTTTTTTTAAAGAATACCAGAAAAAAATGTTTTCTATTAATATTTTGGAAGGTCTAATTTTGAAGATCTCCAAAAATAAATAAATTTTTTTAAGGTTTTTTTCAAGGGCTCTATCCACGTAACTTCTTTTAATTTATTATTTTTAAGGCTTTTTAAAATAATTTTTTTAAAGAATACCAGAAAAAATATTTTCTATAAAAATCTCCATTTTTTTTTAATTTTAGATTTTTAAGGGCTCTATCCAAGTAACTTATTTTAATTTATTATTTTTAAGGCTATTATTTGTAAGAACGTTTAAAATAATTTTTTTAAATAATCTCAAAAAACTAGTTATAAAAAATATTTTGGAAGGTTTATTTTTTAAGATCTCCAAAAATAAATATTTGTTTAAGATTTTATTTTTTAAGGGCTCTTTCCACGTATTTTATGTTTTAATTTATTATTGTTAAGCCCTTTTAAAATATTTTTTCTTTAAAGAATCCGAGAAATATTTTTTCTACTACTATTATGGAAGATCTATTTTTAATATCTCCAAAAATAAATATTTGTTTAAGATTTTTTCAAGGGCTCTATCCACGTTATTTCTTTTAATTTCCATTTTCTCTACTCATTTGTCCAAGACTTACTTTCTTTGACATTTGTCACTGAACCCTGGCTTTTAAATAACTACCTACATATCTGTTATCTTTATGTTTACCCAGTGAAAATAGTTTTATCTGCCCCGCCACTATCATCAATCATTAAAAGATGGGCATTTTTGCCTCTGCCGAGATTAAAAACAATCTGTCACTTTTTTCGTTTCAAAAAAAAAAAAATAATTTCTTTGGTTGTGACAATACTAAAGTGTCACCTAAACAACTTAACATTTGACATTTTGAAAAATGAAAGAAAATAAAAGTAAAAATATGGAAATGGAAATTGAAACGGCTTTCTTGGGCATTTTAATAGCCAGCTAAATGGTTTTTATGACAATGATAACTTCATTTCAAGTATTGTTTTTTTTTAATATGACATTTGATGGGTTTTGTTTATTTTTTTCATTGTCTCTTTCTTTGTTTTTAATTTTTTGGAATTTTTGCTTCAGGGCTTTTTCTATTTATGTAAAAACGAAAGATATTTATTCATCAGATACTTTTTTTGGACGGTTCTTCTTCATCGTTTTCTACTTTTTTCTTTTAGTCTCTCCCTTTCATTAAAATATTCCGTTAATCACTTTGTTTTGGGCAGGCAAACAAAATGTTGCTGAATGAAAGTCTCTTGTTTGTTTTTTTCTACTCTTTACTGTTCGCTCTCTCACTCCATGTTGTTTTCCTTATATCATTCAAGTTGTTATGGCCTTTGATCATTTGAAGTTATTCATTCTTGTTGTTGTTCTTTGGTTTATTTTTTCACGGATACATTCTTCATCTTCTTTTACTTCTGTATTCTTTGGCCATCCGTATCAGGCCAGCCATGGCCATCAAGAAGAACAAGAAAGAAAAAAACAACAACAAATATCCCCGTAATGATTGATTGCCGAAAGTGTAACAGAACATCAAGAAGAAGAAGAAGAATGTAATGTGTCTGCACCAGCATGACTAAAAACAAATTTTTTACTTTATTATTGTTGTTGTTTGTTTTTGTTTTTCGTCTTTCAGTTTTATATCTACGTCGGTAATTCTCCACAAACTGTGAATAACAACCAGGTTTACTTTTACGTTTTCTTGTTCTTTGTTTATTTTGGTTGCCAAGATAGAGAAACCAGAGAGAGAGAGAATAAGAATTCCCTCTGATCAGGTACACAACAACACACAACCGTACTCAGTTGGGGGGAAGCAAGCAAAGGTTGTGACGTGTTTTATGAAATACCTAATATTAATTAACGGGGAGTACGTGCATGAGAGGCACAGAGATAGTTAACCAGGAGAGGGAGAGTAATCGACTGTTTTGTTTGTTTTAATCAGAGGGAGAGAGCACTAATAACTGGGCAAGGTGAAGAGATAACATTGTTCGTCTTTGTAAATTTGTAAAATAACAAAACAAAATAAAAATCTAAAAAAAGGGGTAGCCATACAAAGAAAAGAAGGGAAATTTTAATATTTAAATGAAAAATAAAAGGATTAGAAAAATGTATGTATTATAGTGATCTTATGGTTGGAAATTTAAGATATTATAAGCCTCACAATGAGAACTCTGAATGTCTTTACCGAAAATCCCATGGTGGGAAGACACAGGTAGATAGCAGAGGGGGATTTTTAATCTAGGCTATAGGCTTGGATTACGAATAAAGAATGGAGCAGTTTAGACAAAATCTAATTTCTGGAAAAAGAGACTTAATTTCAGTTTAATTTCATGTTTTCACACTTTCCCCCTTTGCAAAGAAATTAAACAAAAATTCTCATTCACATAAAATTTTATGTTTTTATTGGCAGGCAAGCAGCGTTTGAGACTTCAGTGTGTTTGTGCATATATTTGAGTGGAATAGTGTCGCTAAAATCATCAAAATATCGAATATCGGGAGGTACAGTTATATGGGGGTTATACGAAGACAAGGACCTGCACAGACAATTTTCTGTCCTAGGCTGTAGTATCCATTGCGAACTTCAAATGCCAAATTTGAAACAAAATCCGGTAAATAATGTCGTTAAAATCATCGAAATACCGAATATTGGGAGGTACTGCCATATGGGGGCTACACGAAGACGAGGACCGACCCAGACAATTTTCTGTCTTAGGCTGTAGTATCCACTGCGAAATTCAAATGCCAAATTTGGAACAAATCGGGTGAATAACATCGTTAAAATCGTCGAAATACCGAATATTAGGAGGTACTGCTATATGGGGTCTATACGAAGACATGGACCTGCACAGACAATTTTCTGTCTTAGGCTGTAGTATCCATTACGAACTTCAAATACCAAATTTTAAGCTATTCCGGAATAATAATGTCGCTAAAATCACCAAAATACCGATTATAGGGAGGTACCGTTATATGGGGGCTATATCAAAACGTGGACCTACATTGCCCATTTTCAATACCAAAAGTCCTGCAGTCATAATATACATTTGAGTAAAATTTTATCAACCTGCTTCATTTCATTCGGAAGCTAGAGTTATTTCCACAGACGGACATCGCTAGATCGTCTTAGAATTTTACGCCGATCCAAAATATATATACTTTGTAGGGTCTATTATAAATATTTCGAGGATTTACAAACGGAATGACAAACTTAATATACCCTCCATAGAATGGTGGAGGCTATAAAAATTATTTGTTCAGCCGTTGAAGCATCATTTTGGCGCTCCAAACCCTCATTATGTTTTGGCCAAAAGTTACTTTGTGATGTCCTTACCTGAATGATGTCCTGCATCATCATCTTCATCCTCATCATCACCCTCAGCTCCTCCGGTATTACCGGCCGCTGCTGCCCCGCCTGGGCTATGTTGGGTCTGCTCCTTATCGGAACAGGGGCTGCTGCCAATACTGCTATCAATATGCCTCAATGTCTCACCCCCTGCCGATGACAGTGTGGCATTTTCCTGTACCAATGTCTCGGTTCCGGAACAATTGGCCTCTGGAGCCAAATCTACATCGAGTATTTTGAAACGTTCCCTTATCAACTCGGGACAATTTTCGGCACGAAAATATGTATCCAGCTCATCCAAGGCCAGGGGACAGACATCGTATTGCAGATAGAAATCTTTGCCCCAACTGCCGGAACAAAAGTTGCCCGAGTTGCCAGTTTGCATTTGGTTTTGATGTTGGGAGGCTATGGATTTCAACAGAGAATTGCTGCGCGACAGCTTGGTGGAATGGGCCCGTCTTATGAAGGAGAGGGATTTTTTGGCTGGTGAGGTGATTTGGTGAGGATGGGGTGGATAGTCTTTCTTGTTGTTGTTGTTGTTCCCGCTGCTGCTGGTGGTGGTAGTCTTGTTGCCGTTGGGTGGAGAAGTCAATGAATTGTCCGATGAAGAGGACATGGAACTGCCGTTACTTAGTTTCGGTGTTGATTTCAGCAAAAAGAGATTCCTGGGTGGAAAGGCCGAGGTTAGTATGGTGTTGCCAGACTTGACATTTTTCGACGAGGAATCGCGATTTAAGTTACACGCCTGCGAACCACCGAATTTACGATTTAGGGAAGTAACCGACGCGTTTGCCGAGGGATCGTTGGGGGATTTTTTGGAATTTTTCGCGGACGCAGAAGATTTTGGCGATAATGCGGCGGCCTTGTCCAGAGCTTCTCCCTGCTGCAAAACAACTGAGGGCGATAAATTTTGTGGCAGAGTTTTTGCCTTGACTCGCAAAATATTGGGAGAGGGTGTCGTCGTTGTTGTTGTTGTTGTGGTGGAGGTTGTTTTTGCTGGCGTTCCCTGCTGCTGCTGTTGTTGTTGTTTGCCTTGCGTTGTGGAAGCTTTTATTTTGGCGACATTGATTAGATTTTGCTCGCAGCTCTGCTGGGCACTGCTTGACGCCGCCGGCACTGACAAGATGTTGGTGCGAGAGCGTGACTTCATCATTTTGATGGGAGTCGAGGTGTTTGTCTGCATGCGACTTATCTCTGAATCATCATCGTCGTCGTACTCGTCGTTGCAGTTGTGAGTGCCGCTGCTGGCATTTGCGATTAGAGAGGAGGAATGCGCAGATGAAAATGGTGTCGTAGCCGAGGTGGTGGCGGTGTTGTTATCAAGCGTTGAGACTTTGCTTTGTTTTGTTTTGGCGTTTGTGTTTTGTTTGGACAATGACAACGATGACGTCGATTTGCCAGGGGTTGCCAAACCACCACCCTCAGTGGCAGCACCACCACCCCCATCACTGTAGCGGGAACGGGGGACCGGCGAAGGCCATTTGCCAACGCCACCGCCATTCGAGGAAGTGGTACTTTTATAAGAACTGGAGGACTTCCGGGCCTCGTTAATGTGGTCCCCGGCAATGGAACAGGTCAAGGAATTCCTTGGAGAGCTGCCATCATCTGGAGAGTTTAGGACCACTCCATATCGTTTGGTTCTAGCTGTGGTTTGACTGGCTGGCCGGGTTTTGGCCAAGGGGGTGGAATGGTTGGAAATTATGGATTTGGTGGAGCTACTGGAACTCAGCCTGTGGGTGGAGGCTGTGCCGGAGGTTTTGGTGGAACTCAAAGTCGATGATTTGCTGTTCCGCTTGGCCGGCGAGCTGGTGGACGACTTCTCCGGGCTGGTAGTTATGGGTGCCACCTTGTTGTTGGCTGTTATTTTATTCTTATTCATGGCTATGATGAACTCTGCTGCATCGCTGTCATCATCCAGGTCACCGGATAAATCATCGGCCACCCCTGTCAGGCTCCAATTGAAACCGCAGGGTGGTGCCATTTTCTTTAACGAAGATGAGGAGCCCTTGCGACCTCCTCCGCTGCCACTACGATAGCCCGATGAGGCTGTAGAGGAATTGGAAGAGGTGGTACTAAAACCCAAGGTACTGTTGGCCCTTTCAAACAGCAAGGTGGTGACCTTGACCGAGGTTGAGCTACTGCGCGGCGAACCACCACCACCACCGCCGCTGGACTTGTGGGACCCCGAAGAAGAGCCTTTGAAAAGGCTCGTCGTGGACTTTTTTAGGTTAATGTTGCTGGAATTTTTGAAATCCTTGCTGCTAGTAGAGTGACTAGTTAGGCTGGACAGGCTGCCGGAATTCGAAGTTTTGTCGAATTTATCGTCGATCTCGTCGTCGTCTTCAATGACTAGGGGAACATAAAATGTGGAACGTCTTCGTTGAGATTTTTCCTCTTTTTCCGTAGAACTATTGGTAACTGGCGACGAACTGACTGCTGGACCAGAAGCCGCAGATGATAGCGTCGTGTGTAGAGTAGTGAGAGAAGTGTTGGAGCGATTTAAAGTTGGGGTATTTTCCAGAGACTGCAACATTTTATTGTTGGGTAGCGTTTTGAAATAAAATATCCTTTTGTGGCAAAGGATGTAGTGGAGGGGATTTAAATGTCGCGTAATTTGTATTGGGTCCTTAAGGGCGAGCTGGGCATTTTTATGGGTAAGTTTTTTGTTTTCAAAACACGAAAAAACCACAAAAATATTTTTTTTTTTTTTTTTGGAAAATTTTGGATACTTTTTTTATTTTAATTTGGATATTTGTTTATTTATTTTTTTTGTTTTTTTTTTTTTTTTTTTGATAAAAATTTTTGTTTTTATTAAATTTCTAAAACGATTTTTTTTATTTTTTCTTTGGTGTTTTCTTATTGAAAACTCTGTTATTAATAAAATTTTAAAATTTTTTTTCTTTGAAAAAATATTTGTGAAAATATATATTTTTTAATGTTTGTTTTTTTATAAAATATTATCTTTGAAAATGTTTCAAATTTCTATAATTTTTTCTTTGAAATTTTAAATTTTCATTTTAAAAATTAGGTTTTTTTTTAAATAATTATTTTTTTTATTTATATTAAGTTATTATTTATTATTATCTATATGGCAACTCTGCACTTCACTTTTGTTTATTTATTTATTTTTTTTTAATTAAAAACACCTTTAATTCCAACTCCTTTTTCTCGTATTACCGTTTTCGTATTGAATTTCAAAAACAAATTCCGAATTTTATTTCCAGCTGGCATTTATTTTACACTTCACACTTTTTCCATCTTTTGGAGCCTTAACGATGTTCCACCGAAATATAAACGACCGACATAAGTTAAAACTTGTTCCACAACTTTAGAACTCTTTACACACAACTCTAGAAGGGGAGATGATGGCCAAGAAGTAGTGCATCTTTTTTTTCTGATTCTTCTGGTTTATGGTTTGGGGCACAGACACAAACAACAAAAACAAGTTGTTAATGGTATTTATTTTCAATTATTTTTCTTTTTAAATTTTCACAATTTAATTTTTAATTTAAAAAAATTTGTATTTTTAATAAATTGTATTTTTTTATATTTTAACATTCATAAAATTAAAACAAGAAAATAATAAAAAAAAATTAAAAATTTTCTTGTCACTCGCGTTTCCGTTTTATTCGAAACATTTAACCGTCAACTCTCATTCTCGCACTCAAATCAAATTCTCAACTAACCATTGAAAACACATTGGCCATTGCGCCATCATTCACTTCACTCAACTTTTTTTCTGATAGATAACCAGACATAGAATGCACAAGCATTCCAGATAAATACATAGATAAAACACTCATTACTCTGGAGGGAGAGAGAGAGCGAGAGAATGAGCGTGAAAAAGGAAGGCGCCGTGTGAGTAACTGAACTGGAGAGGGAGTTGTTTACAGTTGTTTGTGTTTTTTTTCATTACAAAAGATCATTGAGTGAGTGGTGCCTAAGAAAATGGTTGCCACATCGTTTGGAGTTACCACTTGAAGTAGTGGGGACATATGGAAATTGGCAGAAAATATTAATATTCAAGGTTTCTTTAATTGAAAATGAAAAAAGAAAAATTAGATGATTTTTCACTTTTCTCAAAAAGCATTTTTGAATAATAATTGCAATTTAATAATTTGTTGAAAATGTCATAAGATATTAAAAAGTAGAAATGACATCATTCCCGGAGATGGATTGTTGTTCTGTAATATTTTTAAATTATTTATATTTTCTTGGCTTGTTCGCAGGCAACATTCTTTGCGTCAATTGAATTTTGTACGGGAACAAATGCAAATCGATGCGAATAATCCGTTGTAAAGTGGACCGAGCCATGCCCAACTGCTGAGAACGGCGTTTTTGGGATGTTCTTGGGGACCTCTCAACACTGGCTCGTACGGCAGCGATATTCTCGTACGATCGCCTTGGTCGACTTTTATATGGCCTCTTCGGATTAGAAAGAGTTACCAGTTGAACATTTTTCGTATAAAGGCTTAATGGTATTCTTCGAAGGCGCACTTCTCACATTTTTTAATGTTTTAAAAGCACGTTGGGTTTTCACAATTGACTTCTTCTGTTGAATGTAAAATTCAACTATTTCGCGTGGCGTGTATTGGTTCATGGTAAAAATCTACTTGGACTGACGCTTCAAACGCGGTATGTCATTAAGCTATGTGACATCTCTGTCAAAAGTTATGGCGTTGCCAGATGGGTCCGTCGAATATGGACAACCCTGTATTAAGTTTGCCATTCCCATTGTAACTCCTCGAAATAAGCACTTTAGGCTCCACAAACTATATATAATTTGGATCAGCATAACATTCTATATCGATTTAAGATTCTATGTCTGTCTGCCTATCTGTTTCTGGAAATCACTACAACCATCTCCCATCACAGAAAATTACCTATAAAAATCTACGTCTTCGTATAGCCCCTATGTGACACTACCACCCAATATTCGGCGACTAAAGGGTTCTATAATTTCCATTTTTATTGTGTGGTTGTAATTTTCTGCAAAGTATTTTTTAACCAATTTGATTTTCGATTAAGCGGTGCCATTATTTATGCTGAGCTTTGGTAATTTTTCATTTAATTATAAAGAATTATAAAAAATTTAGAAGGCGCATAGAGGCTGGTCCCAGAATAAAAAAGGCACTAATATTTATTAATTCACAGATCGTAGATTAAGTCTATCATTTCGATCTATAAAGGAATCTGCGAAAATTTATATTTCGTCGACCAAAAGCTAAATTAATTCCTTGGAGACATCATAGATTTAAAGGAATATATAAAGAAATAGCTGATTTCATAGGAAACTTGGGGCAGATTAGATTTAAGGGAAATATATATTATCTAATTATTATGGAGTTCTTTATCGAATGCTTCTCAATCAAGCCTGTACAAGGAGAGATAAAAAAACGGCAACAAAGTGAAATGTCATTATTTTTAATTTTTTTAAAATATTATTGAATGAAAGCAAAAAAATGTCGGAAATAGCATCAAATGTTAATATAAGTTCACATATATTCTAATTAATCACCTTTAGCATGAATTATGGCCTTCAAACGGCCAATGAAACCGTCATACGCTGCCCGAATGTTGCTTTGCGGTATTTTGGCCCATTCCCGGCGAAACACTAGCTTGAGGTGATCGACACTTTGGTATTTTTTAGTGCCAACCTTGCTTTCCAAAATACTCCAGACCAGACAATAGTCTAACGGATTGGTATCCGGAGATTTTGGTGGCCATTGTGTGATGGAAATGAAGCGAGGAACCTCATTTTGTAACCATTCTTAGGTGGCGCATGCTGAGTGCGATGTTGCTGAGTCCTGTTGGTATGTCCAAAGTTTGCGGCAAAATGTTTGCGTGCCCTTCAATACACCCTTTAGAATATTTTCGCAATAATATTCGGCATTTATTTTGATGCCACGGTCGATTAATACGAGCGGGGAACGGCCATCGGCTGTTATGGCGGCCCACACCATCACCATGGCCAGCGCTTGCGTGAGTTCTGGTGGCCAAGTAAAAACGAACATTTTGTTTGTTTACAAACTGCTGTACAACGAATGTTTTCTCATCGGCATCGTAGAAAACCAAATTCGGCAGTTCACAACTTTCGGCCAAGCGAAGCAACTCGTTAGTTCTTTTGAGTCTATTTTCTTTCCATTGCGGTGTAAGTTCTTGCACTTTTTGGAATTTCAATGGCATTACCCCGAGCTAAATATTTGCCGAATGACATATTGCGATATGTTCAGCTCACGAGCCATTTTTCGGCCACTGCGACGCTGGTTTCGATCAAGTCGCTTCTTTACTTTTCGAACCATTTCTGCTGATGTCCACTTCCTTGACGTCGGTAACGAGCGATGGTACGAGACACAAAAGATTTATTTACATTTAAATGCTGGAGAGCTCTAACGATATCCATTTGTGGTTCTCCAGCCAAATATAAAGAAATCACACTATCACGTTTGAATTCGATCACGAATAACTTTTTTTTTGGAAAATTCTCACCAAAATGCTTTTGTACGCTTGTAAACAATATAATGAGCTGTCACTGGAATAGTTTTAACAGCTGTGGGACGGGTGGCTTAGAAATGACAGCAGTCTGAAGTTGGTTGCAGTTTTTTCATCTCACCCTGCAGTCTAAAGACGTCTAAAGGCGCACGATCTAGGCGGCCATTTTACCGGTACTGAACGTGAAATAAAATGTTCACCTAATTTCATTCTACCCTTGTTTCATTCTACCCTTGTTTCATTCTACCCTTGTTAAGATCGCCAATCGAACTTTTAATGACCTCCACCATATGGGAGGAACATGAAAAATTTCAACAAATTCTGAAAAAAAAAACGTTTACTTCCATACGGGGCTATACGAAGACGTAGACCTGCATAAGTAATTTCTTGTCATAGTCTGTAGTACCCAACAAGATCTTCAAATACTAAATTTGAAAAAAATTCCGGTGAATAATGTCGATAAAATCATCATAATACCGAATAAAGGGAGGTACCGTTATATGTAGCACCTATACATACAATGTTCCGCCACTGGAGCTTAAACCCATTATGACCTACGAATACAAATTTTTGGACAAATCCGTGGAAAATGTGGCAAAATACAGAATTTCGGGAGGTAGCGTTATATGAGGTCTATACGACATTTTTTACATAGGCTGTAGTACCCATTGCACAGCATCGAATACGAAATTAGAAACAATTCGGCTAAATTATGTCGCTAAAATCATTAAAATACCGAATATTAAGAGGTACCGTTATATGGAGGTTATACGAAAACGTGGACCGACATGGCCCATTTACGAACAAAACCTACCAACTGGCAAAATACACATGTGGGCAAAATTTTAGCCTCATATCTCAATTCGTTTGAAAATACTTTGTAAAATTTAAAGAAGACGTAGATAATTTATTTAATATTTTTTAAAGACAGGCATGGATTTTCAAAGAATATTTTTAAAGACCCGAATAGTGGAGGATTCTGTAAAGGTTAGATGGCTAGGACAATCGTGGATTTTTTTTTGAATAAAAATCGTGAATAATTCAAGAAATTAGGGTCTAGGACAATTCAAAGGCTATGTCAGTAAATGTCTATTTTTTAAGACTCAGATATTTTTTCCGAGAACTAGGTTAAAAGTAAATTTATTTTTAATATTTTTCAAATACCGCAAAAATTGTAGATATTTGAAAAAAATATTTTTCAAGGTTCAATTTTTTAATTGATTAAA